GTGTTTTCCCCGATGCATTTGGTCTCATTAACCCTTTCCTACGTGTTTTTTACTATCTGTGCTTTGAGAGGTTTAAAGTGAACTCTGTTGTTGAGTTGCACTTTGGCCTCTTTTGTCTTTTCTTTCTTATTCATGTTGACTATTGTTGTGTTGCTTCGGTGAGGTTAAAGCAGAGTTTGTTTCGACTCTTTTAGCGCCGTGACCTCATTGCGTTACAAAGTATTTTTTGGCTTAGACGGCAGTCTGCAAGTAGCGTTATGACAATTTTCCAAGTAGCTCTGAAGGGCGACAGAAGACTGAACCGGTGACATTCAGTTTGATATGAAACAGAAGTGGTTTTTTGTTTTGTCCGTAAAAGGTGTAACGGAGGCGCATCCGTCTTGAGAATAAATCTCGCAAAAGTTGGCCTGATTTTAAATTCGTTTGTCACGGGCGTTAGGATGAATTTGAGTTCCTTTGATGGCACGCTGACTTGGCTGCCTGTCAGATGGTTGATAGTTTGACAGGTTTTTAAAGAAATTTTCATTTTCTCGGTTTTTTGGCTGCAAGCCTACATTTTAAAGTGTTTTTACGCTCTGTGTCTTAAGCTGTTTGTTCTGCTCTTGCTGATATTAAAGCCAGCTTTTTTTAGAATCAGAGCACACAATTATATTTTTCATCTCTTTTGTACTAAAGTGAGCTCTTTGAGGTCAGAAATCTCAATCCTCAATGCGGCTATTTAGTCATTCTTATTTACAATGTTCACCGAGTACTTTCCTTTGTGTAAGGTATTCTGCCAGATAGTTGTTAAAGGTGGATATTGATCAGCTCATATGTAAAGCTAAGGTGACAAAATCCGTGGAGGTTCGTAAACTTCGCTTTCCGGCGTCGAGATCGCACTGAGGACGGTTTTTCTTGTCTCTTCTCTTCTTGAACGGTAGGCACTGAACTCGAAAGAATTCTTCGCCTAGATCCTTCAAAATACACAGATCTCTCGAAACAGTCCTCCGAGAAGTGTTCGGAGTTCGCAGTATATCACAAATATTTCTGTTGGATTGAAGTTTACTCGGCGAGGTCGCACAAATCGCATCCGTTTTACCCGCTCTGATCTATTTGCAAGGCTCCAATGCAGAGAAATACCTGCAGCATGGTCTGCACAATTACTTCAGCTTTCAATTACACATCGATGCCCAGTCATTTTTGTTTAGTTTTTGTAAGAATAGAGTAAAGCACTCTGTTATGTTTGCTTGACATTTTGCCATGTGGGATTTTCGCGTTGAGCCTTTGACGTCACTTCCTTTGAGTCTTGCGATCAACTTCCGGAACATGATCAAATAATGGCGGACGCGAAATCGTGAATTTAACGGCTCGAAAAAAGATATTTCTGGTGCTCGGTCTAAACTGCAATTTGGAAGAGTAGGTTAAGGAGACACACTGAACACGAAAATGGAAAAAAATGATGTACGAAAATTTTGATCTCAGGGGCACTTTAAATACTTTCCCTCGAATCAAAACACGGCAGCCCGAAAGGCAAATAGTTTCCCTTTAAGTTCACCGAAAAAAATCCCACAAAAGTCGGTTTGTCGAGCAACCAATCCAGCGAGAATTTCAAATTAACGGCCGTTCTGAATTCTTCTAATGCGTGGAAGGAACTTCTTGTGCAGCTGAGAGACCGTTAATGCGCAGTCAACCTGGACATCAGTCAAATCTCTCTCAACCGGTCCTCCCCATAATCTTCAAACACCAACTCTTCACACATACTAAGGTACCCCGGGTAAACTCATTGACTTGACTAGATCGTCGATACTGTCCATCTTCACTGTTTTTAATGGATTTTTACAAATATCCTCTTACCCGGGGTACCTTAGTATGTATG